CTGACTGGAGCAAAGGTCTCGGTGAAGTCTCGTCCTTGCTCTTGGTCGAATCCACGTACGACCCAGCGTGCTTTGAATTTTTCGATCGTGCCGTCTGCTTTTGTCTTGATGCGGAAGACCCATTTCCCGGTAAGGATGGTTTTGTTCCGTGCCACGCTTACGGGAACAACCTTCCAAGTGTTGCGTTCCTCTAATGCCTTCAGTTCTCTATCCATGGCTTCACGCCATTTCTCCCTGTGTTCCCCCCCCAGAGCCTGCTGAACCGTTGCAGGCTCCTTAGGAAGCGAGCTGCGTGTGTTCCCGTGGACTGCGGTGACGAGGCCGAGGATTTGCAGCCCAGTCTGTGAGTATCGAGGGAGTTCTGGATCCTCGGGATAAGCTGCTTCGTCTCCCGCTTCTGGATCAGGGATGAAATTCGGTCCTATCCTTTCTGCTTCATTTGTGTTGACGGTTGCAGGTGTTACGTAACCGGTATCGGCGAAGTGGTAGAAGACTTCGGCGTTGTTACTGTCGCGAGGATTTTCTTCGTCCATGGGCACGTTGACGGAGCAGTACGGGAGAGGTCCGGCTTCTGCCGATGCGTTGTCAACATTCTGCTCGTCCCAGTCTGCTTCATCCGCTGCTGACGCGAAGGCTCGGTCACCACGAAAACCACTGGTGAGGTCCCGATTCTCGTGCAAGTTGGCGAGGTACGTCTGAAGGGTGAGTCTTTCGTAGAAGATCACGTCACGTGCTGCTACTGTTTCCTTTGTGTGGACGTCGAAGATTCTCCATGCGTTGTAATTTTTCTCGATGCCGAGGTGTAGTCCCCACTGTGCCCGTTGCGAAAATCTTCTCGCTCGTGCTTCTGGGGGTCTCTACTGTACCATGCACCCAAAAACTCGTAACTTTTTCGTGCTGCCTTGCTTCCCTGTCCACAGCAGATGCGGTGATGCGTTGTTCGGGAGTGACGACGACGACAACAAGTTGTGTAGCATGACAGCGTGGTCCATTGCTGCTGGCCACTGGTGGTTGGGTAGCCGCATGCCACGTAACAGTTTGCGCATGCTGTTCTGCAGGGTCCTGTTCAGTCGTTCTGCAACACCTTGCTGCTGATGTGCGTAGGGAAGGGAGAGGAGTTGCTTGATCCCCCTTTCCGCCAAGAACTGCTTGAAGCGGTGAGAGGTGTACTCGCCACCTCCGTCTGACTGGAAATTTTTTAGTTGTGTTCCAGACTCTCTCTCTGCTATCGGTAGCCAGGCGGCGAATGCTGCGAGCGCCATGTCGCGGCTGGGTAGGTTGCGATGCCAGACGTATCGAGTGGCGGCGTCGATGAAGGTGATGGTGTAGTTGTAGTTGACTTGTCCTGGTTCGCGATTGTAGAGGATGTCGCTGTAGACCTTTTCGAGTGGTGCGTACGCTGGAGCGCTCGGGTTGTGATGTGAAGCAAACGGTCGATGAGGTAAGTCAGCTTCGGGACATATAAGGCAAGTCCCTCGTGCCTTCTGGAGTTCTCTGCCATCGGGTAGAAGTAGAGAATCTTTGTCAAGGACTCCTGCTCTTTTTGTGTTATTCAAAACCGTGTTGCTTGGATGTCCTGTTCGTGCGTGCCAGATCTCTTCAGAGGCGCGGTGTCCAGGTGAACGCTGATATGCGTCGGAGTTGGAGTAAAAGCTGGCGACGAGGTTGGCGCTTCGGTGGACTTCACGTTGAGTCGGATTCAGCTGTTGCGCGGGTGTTGGTGGTGCTTCGTCGACTGTGACTGGTGTCGTTGTTCCTGCTGCTGCTGATGTTGTTGCTGCTGCCGATGTTGTTGCTGCTGCCGATGTTGTTACTGCTGCCGATGTTGTTACTGCTGCCGATGTTGTTGCTGCTGCCGATGTTGTTACTGCTGCCGATGTTGTTACTGCTGCCGATGTTGTTGCTGCTGCTGCCGATTGTCGAATTGTTGCTAATGCTCGTGTTCGTTCTGCTTCAGGAATGGTGTGCGAGTACCAGAAGCCTCCTGGGCTGAAGTCGGGGTCGAGATCCGGAGGGTGTGTCCAGTCAGTGAAATTCACGATGGCGTCGCTGTCTGCAGTGCCCAGGTCAGGAACGAAGTCGAGGACGAAGACGTTGTTCTTCAGCACTGCTTTCCCGATGTAGAGACCGCCTCTCCCGTGGTAAAGTTTGAACTCCTGGGTCGTGCTGTCGGCTTCCAGATGAATTCCTTTCGCCATCAACTGGCTAACGCTCAGTAAGTTGTAGCCGAGTCCTTCAGCGATGAGTACCTTAGACATGTGCAGTATGACATTTGTTTCTCTTGACTGAAGCTGTACCACTCCTTGTCTTCGTGTGCGCAGGTTTTGGTTGTTGGCAACCGTGATGATCACTTCCCGTTGGAGTCGATGTTCGCGTTGTACGAAACGCCCGGACGAGCACATGTGTTGCCCGCAGCAACTGTCCAAGAACCAGGTGTCTTGGCCGGACGGTTCACTTTGAGCGATGGCGGCGTACGTTGGATTCGGCTGGAGTAGCTCACGGCGAGGCGTTCTGTTGTCAAGCTCTTCTTCCGGTGAGTAGTGTGGTGGTGATTCGGTTGTACACGAATCGGTTATCTTCGTCATGCAGTTGATTATATTTCTTGCTCCTTGTGCAGGTTGTCCGGGTGAAGTCGTTGAAGCTTGAATAGTGGTCGTCGCACTTGCTTGTGTTGAAGCCATTTTGGAGCTTGAAGGTCGAATTTGTCGCTGTGGTGCCGTTGATTGCTGACGATTCGGGCAGTGTGTGCGCGGGTGCCCTGAAGTCTTGCAGATGTGGCAGAAGGGAGGTACTATCTTCGGTTGCTGCTGTCGGTTGTTATAATTGCTGTGTCGTCGTTGAGTGTGGAATGCGAACTCTGATACTGTCGTTTTCTTCCTGTGTCGTTCTTCCTGCAGGTCCATATCTTGCTGCTCGGCATGTATTTCGGCGCAGAGTGCAGCTTCAGAGATTCTTCCGTGGGCTCGAAGAATGGCTTTGGTGGCGCGCCACTGAGGACCAAGCCCACCAATGATGACTGTCACGAAGGCGTCTTCAGAGATTGACCCTCCGCATCGAAGCAGCTTGTCGCGCAGTTCGCGACATCGGCTGATATACGCCAGTCCTTTTTCTCCTGGTTTCATTTCGACTGTCGTCAACTGCGCCATTAACCTGCTCTGGTTTACACTGTCTGTTGCTTGATACAGGTTCTTCAGATGGCTGTACGCGAGCTCCGCCGAGTTGCCGAAGGTCCGGTAAGAGCGAATGTTCTGCTGCTGAGTTGGTGTCACGTTCCTCAATAGGATTGTATACGCCATCATTGATTGATACGTATACTGCTGCTTTTCATATTGTGTCCCGTTGGCTGGATACTGCAGGGACCCGTCGAAGAAGCCGAGTATCTGCGCGCCCTCCATCATCAGCTCGAATTCAAAGGACCAGGTAAAGAAGTCTTTGCCGTCGAAGGGTCTTGACGTTTGCAGTTTTAAGACGTGTGCAAACTGCGACTGAACTTGAAGTGCGTCCAGTGGTCTTTCTTGTCCAGGTGAAGGTTGCGGGTGGGGCACGAAGCTGATTGACCCGCGCTCGTACGGAGCAAAGGTAGGTTGCTGCTGCTGGTTTCCTCGCGCATATGACGACCCATCAAGACTCATGGGTGTCGCTCCGTTGTTGCTGTTGTGTGTTTGTGCAGGTCCCGACTGCTGGTGTTGTTCGTAGAAGGACATGAAGGAGAAAAATTTCTCCATCATGTTCTGGTCAAAGTCCGAAGGGTGGTTCATGGGGGTCTCGGTTGACGTTCCTCTTGGTCTTGTTGCCGTGCCTTCTTCTGTCTGCAGGCCAGAGGCTGGCGGTGGAGTAGGAGTAGTGCCCGAGGAGCCATTAGGGGAGCTCCTTTCCTTGTTTGTTGCCATGTCTTGTAATGATCTTGAAAAAAAGAGTAGAGTTTCCCTTGTCTGCTCTCATACCATGTTGGGCTGAGATAGCCCCTTAGGATCTTTGCAAGGGATAACTCTAGGTGAAGTAGTTGTAATAGCGGAAGCGTTTAGTGAAGAATTTGAACCGACCTTGCACTGGTGTGTGAGAACAAAGTTGATTGAATTAAACAAGCAAATACAAGGATTTATATAAGAGTACAGGGAATACGAATAGATTGGTAGATAACTGTATTGCTGTTGCGGTTCGATACAGTGCGACTCGGGCAACTGCTCTGTAACGAGTCAGTTGTGTGTCCTTAACTGTCGCGCTGTGATTGTCGAGTCAAAGGTCAGCGACCTTTGAATTTCTCGTAGCCTCCAGGCGGTTACCCTAACCTCCGAGGTTGACTCGATGCTTCGATTGGGACTACTTCGCTTGGTACCTTGGATTTTGATACGACAGAAGCGCACTTAGGACTTATTGTTTCCAACAATTCAAACGCTTCCGCTACTACATTATTTACTCAGACTTTAACTAGGCGTTTCAGCCCAACACTGTCTAGTGCTGGGCTGAGAGCGTTGTGATAAGCTAGCAAGCTTGTGATAATTTCAAACATTGGATGATGTAGAGCAATTTCAGGAAGAGTTTACGTAGACTTCGGCAACTTTGTTTAAGTTCAGACCTAGTTTTCTTCATCCCTTAATACTGCATGTGTGTGCAATGCTTCACTATGTAGGCAGCATACCTTTCCTGACTCCAATTGCAACATATGGCTGATAGCATAAAGCACAAAAATTCTTTAGGGTATTTGAATCAGTGTAACAGTTTCTTGTACATTACCGAGGAATGTTGAATCCTTGTAAGTGATAGGGGTGAACTCACACGCGGGTTCACCTTTGTACTACGATCGCGAAAGCCCAACCGCCCTCGCCGCACCTGCTCATCTCGTCACCACTGCCCCCCTTGTTCGTTTACGCGATTTCACCTGCGTTTGTTGCTTTGTGTCAGCATAGCGAGGGTGGAAGGAAGAGAACAGAAAAGAAACCCTACACATGTGCTCCATCCAACCCTGCGTGAGGAATGATAACTTGGAAACCAGCAACGCAATGGCATGGCACACGAATTCAAGCGCTGGTTCAGATGTATGACGTGACCACTATCGCCTTTCCAAGTTCCAATCTTCCCGATCTTCCCTTCGATTTGCACATGTTTGAAGCAGTCACTGTGGCGACGGAGAGCGCACGGTGAGTGTTCGCGTCGTTTCGTCCAAGAATTGACGAAGCGCGTCGTCGATTCTTTCTCGCATGACTAGCCAGCGACCTTTACGCGCATTCGATAATGGTTGTCAGTCCCCTTCTTGCGCATTTTCCAAGACGAACCTGAATTAATTTTCCTAGTATTTGTGGGTTGTCACAACTAGTAGTTGCTCGCCTCTTTGACATCTTTATCATGGAGCGAACTATGTTTTGCTGTCTATTATTCTGTGAGCACTTATCCCGCCTCTTCGCAAGTGCTTTTTGGCCTCAGCTGCTCAAAACGCAGCGTGATTATAACGATTTCCCGCCCTACGCCTCCCCCGTTTGCAGGTGTGCTAGTAACGTTCCTCACAACCGCTTGTGCAGCAGCGTCTGCCGCGCCGTCGCTCCCAGCGTCCCTCTTACTCTCTTTATTCCCGGAGTCCTTCTTACTCTCATCCTTCGCAGTGTCTGATGAGTCATCGGGTTCAGGCGGGCTCCCTGTAGTGTCGTCCACACAGAGTGCGACTGCTCTCAAAGGGAAAGTTTTTCGTGAGTGCTTCCAATCCAACCAGCCTAAGCAGGATAACGTTTCACTTACCGGAATGTTTTCACTCACTTTTTTCCCGGTTTCTTCATTGTACCGAGAAAGAGTTGATGTACTGCTATATCGTGTACGGTGATTCTTTGGGGGCCGTGGCATCTTTTAAAGAGTCCAGGGCCACTGCAAGTTGCTGCACAACGCAGACTACAAGCCTCTTCGTTAAAGGAAGAACCCACCCAGCTGCGTTGGGGAGATGAACCTCTCCATCTCATCATGCTTGCCTGCCGCCCGATTCCATTTTCAGTGGGCTATGCCGGCAAGTTGAGACCCCCCTGTAGCCACGGAAAGATTGCTGGTGACCTGGCAGCAACCGGGAGATACTCGTTCAAGGGACTGGAGTGAGTATAACTTTTGTTGCATGCTTCTGATATTCAGTTTTGGTGCATCCCTTGTTTCATTCCTGACATTCAATGCGTCATTTGCAATTTATTCTGTGAAAACTTTATATTTTCCTGATACTGGACCAACTATTAAATGACGAACCTTGACATAACGTATGAGAACCCCCCCTGTCTCTACCATTCGCTCAATGATGGGTGGCACTGGCAGGGTTTCTGCTACAGAATATTACATTGTGGAAAAACTGCGTGTGGACAACGTCCGATCAGGAGGGGCTGAACCCTACGCTAGTCTGTTCCTAAGTGCCTTTCTGCCAGATTTCGGAAAGAAAAAAACGTCCCACATTGGAAGAACATCACAAGCTGCTGGAGTGGTCTGTTCAAGCGCTCCAGCTTGGTTAGTTTCATGTACATCGGCCCTTTTACAAAATCCAAGGTACAGCAATGTGGTGAGGCACTGACCAGGCAACATTTCGCTGTGTCTCATCCAAATAACAACTACACGCTCTGTGGGAGAATAAGGAAGAGATGTGTGAGAGCAAGGCATTCTAGTGCTGGGCTGAGAACATTGTGATTGGAACTGATTAGCTGAGCTTGCTTGTTCCATTCCAAAAAGTAGATGACGACTAGGCAACGATATGGAATTGTTTTGTAGACTTCCGGGCAGGTTGCTTATCTCCATATTTGTTTTGTAGACTTCTTGCAAGTCCTCAGGATCAATGCTCTCTGTTTGCACTGTTCCGTCCGGTCTAGATGTGTGGTGTTCTGCTCTCAAAGACAACGTCAATTGTATGCATTCTGCTTTATACAACTCTCAATGCAAGTGTACCATAAGAATTTTGAAGATGCCTGGATCTTGTAACAGATACTTTTGACAGGGCCAACAATAATCCTTGTCCTCGTTATAAGCTTCCTGACTGCTTTGCTACAGTGAGAATCCCGAGCGGTCTGTCTTGGTATTCGACCAGAGACGGAGGGCTAGCGGCAGCAGTGACTTGGCTCGGCACTGCAGAGGGAGAGGGGGGAGTGTGAATCATTCATGGAGTTGAGAGTGTGAGCCAGAGGTATTGATGTTCTATTCCTCTCACACAACCCCCTTGAGCTGGGCAGGTCCCTCAGGGCTGCAGAGGGAGACGGGGGAGTGTGAGTCATCCACAGAAATGAGAGTGAAAGCCAGTGAGTTAACCAATTCCTTTTACATCACACTTCCTTGTTCTGGGCAGGTCTTGAGACGTCTCAACTCGTAAATGCAGAACTGGAGAGGGGGGAGTGAGTCATTGACTGGAATGAGAGTGTGAGTCACTGAAATGAGAGCGGGATTATCTCCCTGGTGCAACGCCTCACTGCCTCATTAACAGCAGTGGTGGTGTTAGTGGCGCATCATTACCTCCCTGGTGCAACGCCTCACTGCCTCAACGCCTTTCCTCATCCACACTCGATCCCTCCCTCGCCCATCTTGACAGGGCTTGAAGCAAGCAAGCTGGGCGACCGGGGCAGTGAGGGGCAACAGGTGGGAGGGAGGGTCGACTGTTGTATCAACTTTTATTCCTGCCCTCCTGCCCGCCGTTCTCCCCTCATCCACACTCGAACCCTCCCTCGCCCACCTTGACAGGGTTTGACGCAAGCAAGCTGGGCGACTGGGGCAGTGAGGAGCAGCAGGGAGGGGGAAGGCCGATCGAGTGATGTATCATCTCCCCTCCTTCCCTTCCTCCCATCATCTGCACTCCCATCATCTGCACTCCCATCATCTGCACTCCCATCATCTGCACTCCCATCATCTGCACTCCCATCATCTGCACTCCCCTCATCTGCACTCCTTCCCTCCCTTTATCCTGTTGGCAGGGGTTGAAGGAAGCAACTTGGGGGATCAGCGCACCGAGAGGCAGCGGCGGTGGCGAGGTAGGGTCGATTGATGTATCACCTTTCCTCCTTCCCTTCCCCCCTCATCTGCACTCCCCTCATGCGCGCTCCTCCTCCTCCACGCTCCCCCCCTCCCTCGCCTTGGCAGGGGTTGAAGCGAGCAAGCTAGACAATAAAGGCAACGAGGGGCGGCAAGAGGGCGGGAGGGAGGGTCGCCTGATGCATCACCTTCCCTCCTGGCTTCTTCGCTGATCTCCTCATATCGAAGAAGAAGCTCATATCATCTGAGTTGACTTTTGAGTCGACTCAAAAGTCTGATGCATCACCTTCCCTCCTGGCTTCTTCGCTAATCTCCTCATATCGAAGAAGAAGAAGCTCATATCATCTGAGTTGACTTTTAAGTCGACTCAAAAGTCTGATGCATCACCTTCCCTCCTGGCTTCTTCGCTAATCTCCTTATATCGAAGAAGAAGAAGAAGAAGAAGAAGAAGAAGAAGAAGAAGACGAAGAAGAAGAAGAAGAAGAAGAAGAAGAAGAAGAAGAAGAAGAAGAAGAAGAAGAAGAAGAAGAAGAAGAAGAAGAAGAAGAAGAAGAAGAAGAAGAAGAAGAAGAAGAAGAAGAAGAAGAAGAAGAAGAAGAAGAAGAAGAAGAAGAAGAAGAAGAAGAAGAAGAAGAAGAAGAAGAAGAAGAAGAAGAAGAAGAAGAAGAAGAAGAAGAAGAAGAAGAAGAAGAAGAAGAAGAAGAAGAAGAAGAAGAAGAAGAAGAAGAAGAAGAAGAAGAAGAAGAAGAAGAAGAAGAAGAAGAAGAAGCTCGTATCATCTGCATTCCCTCCCTCCCTTGTCGCCTTGCCAGGGGTTGAAGCAAGCAAGCTGAGCGATCAGGCCAGCAAGGGGCAGCAAGAGGGAGGGGGGGTACACTCACTCGTACAGGACAAGACTCAAGATGACATAACATATAGGAGCACTAGTCTGCGTGATTGACTCGTTTTCTGATTGAAACCGTGCCTCCCTGGGGTGCTGTAACTGTACCCAGCGAAGGGGCTAGGTGTTACAACCACGCCTAGAAGCTGTTGTAACCATACCTAGCGAAAGTTGTAACGCATCACCTACCTACCCTAGCGACTATTCTAGCTAAGGCTCTATAAAGCGCTACCTACGCAAGGTAGCGACTTACGGGAAGAAAGGGTTGGAAGGGATGATTGTTGATTGGTCCACAATTGTGAATCACCATCCACTAAAAGACAAACAAGGTTGGGAACCAACCTAACCTTTGCACTGGTGGACATTCAAACCAATAACATTTCAATGCTGCTGTTACAAGTTACAACAGGTAACCAGACATTTCTTATCACAAATAAGTTGCTCTCATTGGTTGCAAATCCAACCAACATGCCACCTAAGCAAACTCACCTTAAGGAGCTCCTTACCCTTGTTGCCATGGAGGAGGTGGAGCTCCCCAAGGGGTATTGAGGAAGGGGTTTGGAGCTCCAAGGCTCATTCTCTCATTCCCAACTCCAATTGATCAATTTTGGAAATGGGATTTCTCTAAGTACCGAACTTTTCCCTCACAAGTGCTCTAAGCTCCAACTGTCCCTTTGGTGGAAGCTACTCTATCACTCTCCAAGCTTCATCTACCAAGTCTAGAAGACTCAAAGCTATCTTAGGAGCTAGTTTACCTTGTGTGTTTTATTGTTGGCGTTTTTATAAGCCTACTAGTGACCCTTTTTGTGGGCATTCATTTATAAGCCTGGGTCTTTATTGTGCTTTTAAGGGCGTTTCTCTATAAGCCCGTGTTACATTTGGTATTCAGAGCTTTGGTTATCCTTGGCCCTGTGTGGCCAACTAGATTGTTTTTTTTTTTTTTTTTTTTTTTTTTTTTTTTTTTTTTTTTTTTAAGGGGTTTCTAGATCCTAGATCTAGAATAGTCTCAAGCTCTTTCTTTAAGAAGAGTTGAGAAACTCCTAAGATCAAGAAGTCTTCTTCAAGGATTTCCAAGATATAAAAGCTCTTTGAGCTTTAAAAGAATTTATTTCTCTGCCCACCTTCTTGGTGGAAGACTCATTGCTATTTTTATAATAGCAGAGTATTACAGATCTAAGAGTTTGTTAACAGATTCCTCTAACTTTGCTCTTTGAGCAATTTGGGGAACCCTCTCTATTTCCTTCTTGGAATAGAAGACTTATTTAACAACTCTTATTCTGTAATTTTCTCTTTGTGAGAATATTGATCTATAAAAATATTTCTGAAATTTTCAGATTTTCTTGCCTATCACTTAGGTGATAGAGGACTCCTATTAAGATCATATTTTCTTAACAAAGAAGAAACACTCTCCTTAAGCCTCATCTTAACAACTCTTCCATGGCTACTCATGAGGAAGCACCAAAGGGGGATGTCCCTATGACCTCAGTTGATGATCTGGAAGACTTTCCAGACCTTGACCTTAATGCTGAGGATGGCATAGGAGACCTTCCTGCGGAAGAGGAAGAAGCACTGGGAAACCAGGAGGAGAATGGAGAGCAGGAAGGGCTTGATGATGTCGGCACAGATGATAACTTCCCAGAGGAGTTTGAAAAACTTCAAACCACGGTGACCGAACAAGCATCTTCCTTCCTGCAGCAGAAACGCAGGGTCAATGAGCTTGAGGCTCAAGTTGCTGAGCAAAAAGTTTCAATTGAAACAATCCAGGCTCAGCTTACCAAAGTCACTGCCGAGGCTCGTCAGTTTAAGAGGTCTCTTGGCCTCAAGAGCCTTGAGGACACCCTGTAGCAGCTAAGTGCTACGTGTATCAGTCTTGAATCGACTTGCACGACGCTGGAAGCTCAGTATAGGGAGCTCAGGAGGGGACCAATATATCGCCCCCCTCCTAACAATGGGCGGCCTTCTACTTCTTTCGGAGCTCCAACAGAGCAGCAGATGTCGCTTGACGCATCCGCATTTGGGTCGCTCCCCACTGCCTTGCCGATTTTCATTCATGGCAAGACGAACGTGGAATCTTGGCTTCATCTTGTGGAGGAAATGCTTTCCATCCACAACGTGCGCTCTGACGCACGTGTTATTGCTGCTACTGGTGCTCTCGATGAGACTACACGTAACACAGTCTACAGCACTATGAAGCTTGCTAAGGCAACGTCGGCCACTTTCGGATGGTCCGATTTTTGCTGCGCGATGAAGGATGCTTTTCATGTGCAAAAGACTGACCTGGAAGTGCGCAGCCGCATCAAGAGCATGCAGTGTGGTAATCGCACTGTTCTGGAGTACGCCAATGAATTCGAACGGACTATGCTACTCCTAACTGTCGCTCTCACTGAGAACGAGGCAATGTCGTCGTTCTACGAAGGCTTACCGCAGTGGCTTCGCGAGAGGCTGGTGCTGGGCATGAACCAGTATGCTACGTACAAGGAGCTCAAAACAGCAGTCATTGAGCTTGACGTGAGCGTTTGTACGTGCCTCAATGCCGCCAAGGGTCGCCTGGAGAACGGGGATGAAGGCCCTAGTGGCCAGAACAATGCGGCGCAACCTCCTAATGGGAAGGGCCCTTGGAAGAAGAGGCCTTTCCAGCCGCAGAGCCAGCATAATGGCCCTCAGCCTAAGAAACCCTTTCACCAGGGCGGCCAGCAGAGGAACGGCACTCCTTTCTGCACCTACTGCAAGAAGAAGGGTCATACGAGGGGACAGTACCGTACGCTGAAAAGGTATGAGGATCCTGGCAAGCCGCAGCAGGCGAACAAGAAGGGAGATGGACCTTCAGGCTCGCGCCAGGATTTTCACAAGTCCAACTAGGGTGTGGGTACCTAGCTGGACAGGTAGATCGAGGTAATGAAGCTTACGTCCTTCGTGACGAGGATCTATTAAAGCTAGAGAAACTTGCTGAGTGCAAAATCTCTTGTTTGTTTGCTTCTTTTTTGAGTGAAAAATCTGTTTTCCTACCTCGATTGCACCCACTTACACAACTATCTATCAAAACACTGAGAGATAAGTTCTCTGTCATTTGCTGCAACGTAGATGCATTGCCCTTCGTAATGGATCTGGTGGGTCGTTGCACCTAGGAGCACCCATTGACTTCGGTCAGTCTGGTGACTCGAACAATCAAAGGCAAAAACTTCCCCATGCTTAAGGGATGGACGGTACTTGCCGCGTGGGACAAGGGATATCACATGTGGTGGCCTGACACTCGATCCTATGGTCGAGCACAGCACAATGTCAAGGCATACTATCTCCCACCAACTCGCATCGTTGCATGCCCCATTCGACCAAAACATCAACAAAACCTATTGCTGGTGGGTCGAATAGACGGGGATGAAGCGAAGATTCTTGTTGATACGGGCGCGACTGTTTCTCTTTTCGATGAAAGCAGGCGGCAGAGGGGGCGACGCCTGCCCCCCCCTTCTAGGTCGCCCCTCCCGGCACCTGTCGAGGTGACCTGAGGGGGCCGCGTGCGGGAAAAGGGGGGGGGGGGGGGGGGCGGTGCACGTGCCCCCGGTGTGCCGCGGCTGGCGACGGGGCATGGCCGGGGCGGGGTCGGGGCCGCAAGTGGGCGGGGCCGCATGTGGCATCGGGGCCGAAGTGGGCGACGGGGCCGTAGGTGGCAACGGGGCCGCAGGTGGCGGAGCCGCAGGTGACGACGGGGCTGGGGCCGCAAGGAGGCGACGGGGCCGGGGCCGCAGTTAGGTGACGAGGCCGGGGCCGCAGGTGGGCGACTGGGCCGGGGCCGTAGTGAGGCGACGAGGCCGCAGGTAGGGGACGGGGCCGCAGGTAGGCAACAGGGCCGGGGCCGCAGGTAGGCGACGGGGCCGGGGCCGCAGGAAGGCGACGGGGCCGGGGCCGCAGGTAGGCGATGGGGCCGTAGGGCCGCAGGTAGACGACGGGGCCGTAGGACCGCAGGTAGGCGACGGGGCCGGGGCCGCAAGAAGGCGACGGGGCCGGGGCCGCAGGTAGGCGACGGGGCCGTAGGGCCGCAGGTAGGCGACGGGGCCGTAGGGCCGCAGGTAGGCGACGGGGCCGTAGGGCCGCAGGTAGGCGACTGGGCCGGGGCCGCAGGAAGGCGACGGGGCCGGGGCCGCAGGTAGGCGACGGGTCCGTAGGGCCGCAGGTAGGCGACGGGGCCGTAGGGCCGCAGGTAGGCGACGGGGCCGTAGGGCCGCAGGTTGGCGACGGGGCCGCTGAAAGGGCGGCGACGGGGCCGCGGAAGGGCGGCGACGGGGCTGCGAAGGGGCCGCGAGGGGCCTGAAAGGGCGGCAACAGGGCCGCTAAGAGAAAGTTAAGGGGCACGCCACGGGGCGTGCCGAACACAGAGTAGCAGCGGAAGCAGTAGGGTGGGTCCACAGGCCAGGACCGTAATCACTCTAATAGCATATCAAGATTCTAGCGAGGCTTAGGAGCCATGTCTAGTGAGATCGAGGGTGAGGAAAGTGTCGAGAGAGTTGAGAAGGAGAATTGTTCAATAATAGCAAAGAGATACAACATATAGTCAAGAAATTAGAGGTGCACCACCATACAGAAGACAAGATAAATACACTACACCTAAACCACAAGTAGTTACATAAAATAACTTTGACATATATGCCGCCATGTGGACAGCTGACAAGATCGACGGAAATAATTAGGTACATTAAATGAAAGCTTTATTGAAAACAAACGGTTTTGCGAGCCCAAACGCGCGAGGACAGGGAGAACCAAGGTAATACTGAAGCATAAGGTAACTCTACTACTGCGAGCTCTACCCTAAACGCGAGTTTCAGCATGAAAAAACGGTAGGTTCTAATCTTATCGCATTTGCGCGAATGCTATGCCTTGACTGATCGCACTTGATTTTTGGATGAAGCTATGGATGGGTATGTGTTGCCTGGGTTCGTCTGTGAGGCGGTTCTTACAGACTTGGTTCCCTTTTGGTGCAGTGTGCGCGTTGGAAAACGATTATGTGCGTTTTAAGCGGTTTGCCTGATCTACTGCTTTGAACTGCTACCGGCATGTCTGAGCAAGTGATACGGTACTTGAACCGAGTTTGACCCATCCTCAGCTGCACAATGTGAACATTCTGTTACATACGAGTTCAACTTTCAGTTGCCGTTTCGCGAAAGCCTAAACGTCTTCGCTACACCTGCCTCTCTCTGAGGTTCGCCAGCTCGTCTCTGTCAGATTTGTATGACATAGCTATTGTAGGCTATAGTGGGGTAGCACATATGGGGTACAACTTTCTAGGGTTGTATTTGTACCCAACTTTCACTTAGTCATTCATCCTCGTTCTAACTTTCTCATGGTATCGAGCAGGTTCCCTCGTGGGAACTGTGCCTAGGGCCCACCACATCGATTTTTTTTTTTCCTGCTCGGAGCGCGCTCCCCGAGTCGCGCTCCCCTCTCTGCCTTCGTCGAGCCGCCCTAGCGGCCACGTCGCGTCGCCCTTAGCGGCCTCCCTTGCGCCGAACTTACGGCCCGTCGCGGCCCTTACTCGGCCCGTCGCCGCCCTTCACGACCCGTCGCCACCCTACGCGGCCCGTCGCCGCCCTCCCTTGCGGCCCCGCCACCCTCACTTGCGGCCCCGCCGCCCTCAGTTGCGGCCCCGTCGCCGCCCTCAGTTGCGGCCCCGTCGCCGCCCTCACCTGCGGCTCGTCGCCGCCCTCACCTGCGGCCCCGCCGCCCTCAGTTGCGGCCCCGCCGCCCTCAGTTGCGGCCCCGTCGCCGCCCTCGGTTGCGGCCCCGTCGCCGCCCTCACCTGCGGCCCGTTGCCGCCCTCACCTGCGGCCCCGCCGCCCTCACTTGCGGCCCCGCCGCCCTCAGTTGCGGCCCCGTCGCCCTCACCTGCGGCCCCGCCGCCCTGAGTTGCGGCCCCGCCGCCCTCAGTTGCGGCCCCGTCGCCGCCCTCGGTTGCGGCCCCGTCGCCGCCTTCAGTTGCGGCCCGTCGCCGCCCTCACCTGCGGCCCCGCCGCCCTCACTTGCGGCTCCGCAGCCCTCACTTGCGGCCCCGCTGCCCTCAGTTGCAGCCCCGCCGCCCTCACTTGCGGCCCCGCCGCCCTCAGTTGCGGCCTCGTCGCCCTACCCTGCGGCCCCGCCGCTCTCCCCTACGGCCCCGCCGCCCTCCACTGAGGCCCCGTCGCCCTCACCTGCGGCTCCGTCGCCCTTACTTGCGGCCCCGTCAACTGCTGCGGCGCCGCCTCACCCAGCCGAGCCGCCGACCACCGCGCCACCCTGCAGCAGCACAACCGAGCCGCCCAGCAGCAGAGCAGCCCAGCCGCCGAGCCGCCGAGTCGCCCTGCAGCCGAGCCGCACTGCAGCCAAGCCGCCCAGCCGCCGTGCAGCCGAGCCGCCCAGCAGTCGAGCCGCCAAGCTGCCCAGCAGCCGAGCCGCCGAGCCGCCGAGCTGCCCTACCGCCGAGCCGCCCGAGCAGCCCTGTCCGGTGAGCACAGCACCTCTGTCGCTGCACTGCCCTTTCCCTACTGCTTGCACTGCTGGTCTACTATTGTCATGGCTACCCCTAGTGTCCTCGCTTTTGACTCTGAGGGTCGAGCCATTGACTTTGACGTCTGGGTCGACGACCGGCAGCTGTTCTTACAGTGCGATAGGGCAAACGGTCTCTCTCTCTTTGACCTCACCTCTGGCGCCTCTCCTGCCCCTGCTGCTGATGCTGACGCCACTGTTCGCTCTCAGTGGGCCACGCGCGACGCTGTTGCACGTCTTGCTGTGCGTCGCCACCTGCCTACCACTGAGCGCGCGCACTTTAGTCAGTACAAGAGTGCTCAGACCTTGTACTACGCTGTAGTTGCGCGCTACTCTTCCCCTGCCACTGCTGCACTGAGCCGCCTCATGCTACCGTACCTCTTCCCTGACCTTGCTGCCTTTCCCACAGTCGCTGACCTCATTACGCACCTCCGCACTTGTGACACTCGCTACCGCGCTGCGCTTCCTGCTGAGTTTTGCGCCAAGACCCCCCCCCCCCCCATGTACATCACTCTCTATTACATAGTCACCCGCCTCCCTGACTCCCTTCGTGTAGTTAGGGACCATTTCCTCTCAGTCTGTCCCACCACTCTCACTGTTGACCTCCTAGAGAAGGCCCTCCTCGCACAGGAGAAGAGCATAGTCGCTGTAGGAGCCTCTCGTGGTGACCCTCGCACCCCCATCTTTGAGGGGTGTTCCCCTTCCCCCCTGTTGCCCTCTGTCGCCTCTGCTGCTGCGGCCGACCTCGTTGGTCTTGAGTCAGTCGGTGCGGCGTCTGCCCCTAGCGGGAGACGCCGCTCTGGCAAGGGCAAGGGGGGCAAGGGCGCGGGTGGAGCTAGCGGGGGTGGTGGAGGTGGCGGTGGAGGCGGCGGATGTGAAACAAGGAAAACAGGAATGAAATGACTAAGGAAAGATTGGGTACAAATACAACCCTAGAAACCCTGTACCCCATATGTGCTACCCCACTATAGCCTACAGCAGCTATGTCATATAAATCTGACACACCCCCATAGGCAAAGTGGGGGAGAACAAGGGGTCACAAGACCAGTCAAGCAAAGCAAAGCAAGCTCAGGGTGGATCACAAAGTCACCACACAGTCCGAGCACAAGAGCAGGGCCAGAGGCCAGTTCACATGCAGGAGTACAGACATATATATACAACTAGACAAGCAAGAGCAGGTATATATATATGTCACAGTACAAGTGAAGTCAAGAGGAGATCAAGTGAGGCAAGACAGGCACAAGACCCAGCTGGGTGCAAAAGCGCTGATGGTCACAAGGCGCGAGTGCCTTGGTGAACACATCAGCAGTGTTGGCCTCAGAGGCCACGTACGCAAGTCGCAACTGACC